CATTGTGAAATGCAGGGAAAATTCTCAGAAGTAAAGGGTATCTGGACTGTGGGAAAGGAGAAGTGAAAGAAAGGGAAATTATGCATGTATGTATATATATACAGGATAGCTAACATAGTTGTACTACCGTCTTCTATTGCTTTAGTGAAAGGAACAGTTAATGATTACTTGTTTGATCAATATTGTATGTCTCTATTTTTTTTCCTGAGAAATCACTTTGATGATATCAATACATAATACTACAACCATTGCTAATTTCTTACCACTTGTCTGTAACTCTGTATTATTTGTATTGTTCTTATGCTATATTATAAATGGATGTTTGTTTATTAATATGTTTTCCTTCTTTTATTTTTAAAATAAATTTTGAAAAAAATTTTAAAAAGAAATAGTCCCTACAAATGTCATCAAGATGGCAATATTAGCCCCACTACCTTCGTCGTCCTTCAAACAGAGATGTGCATTTTTATTGTGTTTGAAATATAACTTTAAAAGCATAAGAAAGATTCATTTCAGTAAGGAGACCATTAACTTCTTGCATGTTATGTTACTCTTGCTGCATTTGTGCTGCTTGCTCCTGGCTGCATGGATGTGCACAAAAAATATGTATTTGAGCTCATATCTACTGTAGCATGAATCAGTTGAAAGTGAGTATAACACTGTAGGTAGGAAGAGTCTTCTTTTTTGTCTCTCTTATACTTTTATCAGGTGGCTTCTGTATACATTATTTGAAAGTTACTTAAGTGGACAGGAGTCTGCACCAAAGTACTGAGCCATGTGTTCTCTTGTGGACCAGCTACTAAACAGTGTAACAGCAATGCACAGAATGAGCCAGTGGATTTATTAGATTTTCCAGCAATTTCTCCCACTGGATAATTGTAACCAGGTGTGATCTTTTGGATTGGTTTAATCCTGAGGATTTTGGATTTACCATAGGAGAGGAGAACCCAGTAAGAGAAAAACATTTTCTAGTAAACCCGGCAGGAGCATAGTGTCAATATATTTTAAACATTAAAAGAACTGTAGCTCAGGTTGATGAAGTACATGCATAACTGATAAGTAATAAAGAAAGAGAAAAAGAAAAGTTGATGTGGATGAAGAAAAATACAAAACAACAAATATATATATATATATGTATATACACATGTACACATACATATATAAGGTAAATTATATGTATGTATATACAAAGACTGCAAAAATGTATATGCACTTCAGGTAAAGAAAAATAGTATGATGTTTTTTCAAAGTTATTGTTACCCTTGTATGGGAAGCCCTAGAGGATGTCATATATTGCAGAAAACCCACTACACTGCTGGGCCTTGGAGAAGAAATTGAAAATGCATGTGCAGTACTCTCAATTACCAAGGTTATCCAAGCAGCAGTTTACCATACTAACGAATGCCTGGAATCTACTGGGCATCACTTTGAGCACCTCTTGTAATTGTAGAGGCCAAAAGTAACTTGTATTAATTTCATAATGTCTCAATAAATTTAGGATTAAAATATTATATGTGGTTTTTTTTCCTGAAGTTTGTATACATTTTTGGCAGATTCTGTATACATGTATCTGTATCTATATCTATATTTATATCTATAGTAATCTCACCCCCTGCTGCTAACAGTGATTACCTCTGTGGCTAAATTCTGCCTATATTCAAAATCTTCAACAATGAGTATTAACTCTATAATAAATACATACCAATTATTTCTTTTTTTTATGGTACCGGTGATCGAACTCAGGACCTTGTACTTGCCAGGCAGACACTTATGCCACTGAGCTACATCCCCAGCCCCTTTACCAATTATTTGTAATTTTATAAAGCATTCTCTTACCCTGGAAAAACAAAAACTTTAAAAGAACAAATTTTCTTTTCCAAAATGCTAACTCTTAGTAAGTATTTTTATGCAAGCAAATTATTCAACTCAGCTCCAGGCTTCTGGTGTTTTTGGTTTTTTTTTTTTTTTTTGTACCGGGGATTGAACTCTGGACCATGCACTTGCCAGGCAGGTGCTTGTGCCTCTGAGCTATATCTCTAGCCTGGCTTCTGGTCTTTTAAAGGGGAAGTGATGACATTTAGTGACAGCTTATTAATTTGTTATTTTGTGTGAATATTCATTGCTGATATAGTTTGTCTGACAACGAAGTAAGCTTATGTTTACTTATTTCCTCAGCCCTTTTCTGCTGTGGTCACCTGATATGTTATTCAAGTTTGGAATTTTTCTTTTGTTTATATATGATACATGTGGTGACCAGATAGTTTCTTATCCCTGATTCTTATGGGGGATATGAGAAAATAAAAACAGAACATGCTTACCATCAGATTGTCTTCTCATTTTGATACAGGGCAAAAAGATCAGGGCAAGAAAGGATTTTGTATAGTAGATCTGACTTTTAAAATTCTCATCTCTCTACCTCCTTTCTTTCTTCATGGATGCAAACATACCACCTGCCTAGCAGCCCTTGTATTGCCAAAGTTAGGGATGAAGGGTGAAGGACTGTATAAGATTGTTTCTGAAATGCTTGCATTGTAGCCTAGGATGCATATTTGAGGTACAAAATCCTGCTACTGGGATTAAAATTTCATCTATCAGAACCAAATGTAAAGATTGATCAGAACACACCTGTGCCATAGCATTCTTTATAATATGAGAATAACTCACCTGAGGGAAAAAAGGGAGATAAGGCATATAAAATGTTTAGTGCATAGCACATAATTCTTACCTCATTAAAACTATTAGAGCTGTTCCCATCACTGTTGTTTCCATATGGTCCCTGGACATTGCCTTAGAAAAAACACTGGGAAAACTACTACTCAAGGCTCAAGACTAGGCTCCTATGGAAGCAGCAGGCAGGCTTAAAATCCCAAGAATTAAAGAAGCAATTATGCTCACTAAGGGAACTCCCAGTGCGGTGTCATATAATTAACATATAGTAGTAATAATTATGTTAGAAGAAGCAGCATGAGCTAAATGAGTAGGTGTTCATCAACTACATGAGTGGCCCTGGGCCTGGGAAATGATTGGAAGTGTGTTCAGGAAGACAGAGCTGTGTGAACAAAAGCAGAAAGGCATGAAAAAGCATTAGGTCTTAAAAACAGCAAACAATTATTTGGTGGCATGTGAATATAGGATGCAAAGAGGGCATAACAGAGAAAAACATGCCAGAGAGGCTGGAAAGTGTCAGATCCTCTAAGGTCATCCTGACTCTGATAACAAATGTGAATTTTGTTTCTACAGTTAGTAGCAAATCATAGCTGAATACCTAGAAGGAGGCTGGCAGAGTATAGCATGGGGCCAGGTGAGGAACACCGGAAGCTGAAACTAAGAAGTATCAGTGAGAACTGAATGCAGGATACTAATACAAGAGAAGGTTTATGAAATCTATACTTGGATAAAGTTAAAACAAAAATATAATAAGCACACATGATCTTCCAATTAAAGCTTTTATTTATATGAGATGTTTTGCAAAATTATGTGAAAAGTAAGCCATAGTTGATTATACATTTAGCTGTACATTTTTATTGAAAATAATATGATTACATAAAAATAGGACTTTCTCAGAAAGTGATGTGGGAGAAGTCCTCAATTCATAGTTTCAGAACCTGGCAAAGATGTTAAGGCCCCAAACCTTAAATTATACCTCACAGGTCCCATTGGTCTAGAAAGCCCTACTTAACTTGGCAGAATATGGAACTGGTAGAGAATAAAAAGGTGAACTTCTAAAAGTAAGATTCATACCCTGAATATGAGTCAAGTTGAGGTAACTCGTTTCATGTATTCCTCTGAGGAATTACAATAGTGTTAATTAAAAAGATCTATGGACCGGCAATTGGTTTCAAATTCCTCCACAGAATCCCATAGATTCAGAAACAAACAGTAAAAATAGATACAGGTTAAAACTATAACCCACTGTCTACATTCTAAAAGCTACACTTAACTGTCCTACCTACCAGGTCCCCAGCTTCACAACAACCTTGTCATTTACTGAGCCTCTTTGTCACCAAAAGGGTATTACAATTTCATCATGGCATAACCTTTTCCTGTGCCAGTTTAGAATTTATTACAAGGTAAAGAATCCACCTAGATATTTTGAGAAGCAACCCAAAATGCAATAATTAAAATCAAATCAATGTCCTAGACATCAAAGCACCACATTCAAAAGATCAAAGATGTAAAAAGTAACCTTTGCATTTTATACATACACAGTGGCTGTTGTATATTGTTTTCAAAAATTATAAGAAAATATAGAAACCTTTATATAAAAATTAACATGGATAGAAAATATTTAAAGTATTTATTCAGAGTTGCATGAGCATTTACTTATTAATAGCAACTCTGTTTTAGTATACGTTTTACTTTGCATAACTGTAAAAAAAATAAGCTAAAATACAGAAGTAAGTGCGATTTAATCTAGATTTCTAACCTTACTCAATGTGTCACTAGGTCTTAAGTATAAAGCTATGTTCAACTGAAATGTAAAAGGAATGGAACTTATAATTTCTTTAAAAGTAGAAAGTACTGTATATACCTTGAGCCTGAATAATCCTGTACCAATATATTATAATGTAGTGAACTTAGAATAGTATAATATACTACACTTAGTGCTTATTTATCTTACCATGTTGTCTTGTAAATAATGCAGCAAGTTAAAACTAGCCTTTGTTCAAGAGGCAAGAAAGTATGATAAAAATGGATACAAAACCCCACTAAGAAATGCCAGTATTTTTCAAGGAGAAACCTGAAACCCTAAATGATTATTTACAAGTTATTATTAATTATAATTTGACTTAAATTCCAAATTACTTCTAGGTTTTGGATATGTCTCAAAACAACAATCTTGCACTGATATAACAGAAAAACAATAGATAATTTCTGAAAGTCACTGGAGGGTAAAGTGTATAGTTATACTTGGTTTTCTGTTCGAGAAGAGTGAGTAAAAATCCAATAAGAGAAAAATCTTATTTTATAAAAGCTATTTAAAATAATCCAGGTGAGCCTCAAAACAAGTTGCCACTTTGATAACAGGCATTGCACTCTTGGGTTTGAGACACAAAAGTGTCCATTTCTCTAAAAGAACTGCTTTTTCTGCAAGACATAGTCTCTCTCTTGCTTTGAAGCCAAGTATTTGGGACCCTAACTATACTTTGGAGCTTCTGTTGGAAGCGGTTTCCTACAAAACAATACAGAAAAGGATTAATGCAGCTGTTGGTGAATCCCAGAATGATGGCAAAGGGAAGTGCCAAGTCAATGACTGCCGTGACTTCACAGCTATGGATGACACCCATCCAGGCCAGAGCATCCAAGAAAGTTAGGACGTGGAAGGGAAGCCAGCAAATGACGAAGGCCAGTACAACAGCAGCTGCCATTTTCAGGACTTGGTCACGGGTTATTCTGTTCTTCCCGTAGCTGTTGGTCTTTAGTAAGTGTTTTCTGATACCAAAGTAGCATGTTGCTATGAATATTAAAGGAATAATAAAACCAAGGATATTTTTCATTAAGGCAATCCCAGCTGACCATTGGGCGTATTTCTCAGGTGGGAAGGCCATAATGCAAGCATTCACTCCGAAGTATTCAATGGTTCTGACATCTCGGAAATAAAACGTTGGCAATGAAGAGAGACAGGCCATACACCACACAAAGGGAACTATGTAAGATGCTTGCCATGGATTTCTTCTTTGAGACAGAAAGGGGGAGATGACAGATTGATACCTATCAACACTCATGCAGGTAATAAAAAAAATGCTTGCAAACATGTTTAGGGTCAGAAAAGAACCAAAAACTTTGCACATCATAGGTCCAAAGAACCAGTCATATCTGTGAGAATAGTAGGTTGCCCAGAGAGGAAGAGTAGCCAAAAGGAGTAAGTCAGCCACAGCCAAGTTGAAGATGTAAATGCTGGAAACCTTTTTAGGACCCTTTTGACAACAAAACAGCATAACCACAACAGTATTAACAAGAAATCCAATCACAAAAACAGTGTAGTAGAGAATAGGAATCACATCTAAATGCTTATCTGATGGTTTTTGTGAGCAGTTAAAGGTGGACTCGTTGCTGCCAGATATGTTCACAAGTCTGAAGTGCAGACTGTTGGTAATGTTTTGGCTGATGGTGGCAAAAGTGAAATTGCCCTTCATAATGATATTTCAACAACTCCTGATTCTTACGTGTTCTGTAGGGGAGAAAAATGGAGCACTTAGAACACATACAAACCTTTGGGTATAATTGAGTCATTAACATTTTAAGTTTATGAAAAGCAAAAAAAAAAAAATTATAGAAAACACTAAACAGGACCATGCCTATGGAGTAACAATGGACTTCCCCTCTTGAGAAAGAAAAATATGTTCTTAGTAGTGGCAAGAAGTAAGACATTTCATTGAAAATTCTGAACAAAAGTAAACTTTGCCGTTTTCTATCATGTTGTTGAACAGTTTAAAGAAATTTAAGATTTCAGAAAGTCAGGATAATAAATACATGAAACAAGAAGAAACTCCAAAGTTATTATTTTAAAACACTTGATTAGATATCTCAATCTGTATACTTTCCAGAAATCACACATCACCCTGCTATTTCATACAAAAATGATTTATTCAAAATACGTAATTATACACAAATCATTATAAATGTGGAAAATATAAATAGCATAAGCTTTGAAAATAAGTAAGTATAGAAATGACTGAAAGAATATGCAATGGAAAATATTGCAATGGGGGATCACAATCAGCTTTTGTTAATTAAAAATAACCTCTTTCATTCTAATTTTCCATTGTTTTCACAATATAGCTAAGAAATTATTAACTATAGTAATTATTAACTATTTGTTCCTGTTTTTAGAAAGCCCTCTGTTTCAGATTTTAATACAGAATATTAGCTTTAGTTAAAGGTATTTAAGTTTAGTCTATGTAGAAGCAAAAATAATCTATTTTTAATTTAATTAAGGAAGGAAAAAGAAAACAAAACAGTCAAATGTGTTTGAAGGTCAAGCAGGAATAGTTTTGAGTGTTCAATGAAATAAGAATTGAATATCAGTGATTAATCATGGTATAATCTTACTATTTTCCCTTTGCTTTACTTACACTTTAAGAGAATTGGTCATTATTCTCAAATTTTATAATCAGTGTTTAGGTCTTGGAAGTATATTTGGTCTGGTATTTATGGTAGTAACATTATTTTGAAACAAAAGAAAATTAGCTAAAGATAAACATAAGGGAAAAACGACTCGGATATTTTCAAAATGCACACAAATAAAACACTCAGTTAAAAACATAATCACCAATGAACCTCCTAATAAACAGCAAACTATCATTTTTGCTTAAAGCTTATTCATTTATATGACCTCACAAATTTATATGAAAGAATAAAAAATAAATCTCACTGAAGACTTACTCGTGGTTGGAGTTTAAAGCAGTTCCAAATCAGCTTGTCTAGTTCTTAAATGCACCTCTGTAAGAGAAACAGTAATGAAATAATTCAGGAATTTTTCAAAATACAGTGTTAAAACATAGAAGAAAGGGAAAGTTCATCCAAAAATATTTTCATTTAATATGTATTCTACTCTCCAAGTCAAGTATGTGTAAGTTGTTCAAACTTACCTTAAAATTTCAGGCTGAAGAATGCCTTGAATTCTATGCTTATTCGTTCTCTTAGACTCTAGGATGTAATAGCACTGGATCTCTGGTTTCCTTCTTGTATGTTCAGTCTGTCCACTGGGGAGCCTTCAACCTACATAATTGTAGGGCTGCCTTCTGAACACTTGCCAACTTTTCGGAGGGTTTTTTTTTTTTTTTTGGCTGCAAAACATTAATCTGAAGTTCTCACTGTCTCCAATCATAACAGTTCATTCAAATAAATCTCAAACAAAAAATAAAGTTTCCACAAATGTGTTAGAGACTTTGGAAGTCAGTGTCTTACATTAAAAGCAGAATATGATTATTTCCAGAATTTTCTCTCTTTTACCCTGACACTGACATTCTACAGCAAGTTCAAGAGCAGAGACAGGAGAATTTAGTCTAGCAGTACAGTCTTTGTTCACAAACATCTTTTACAACATTTGGTACTTTTACTTGTTTGTTAAAGAATGGTAGCAACTTGAAGTCTACAACTTCTAAAATTTCTTACTTGCTTTAAACAGTTTTTGTTGGCTTATTGTTGGAAGGTTGAAGATTAAAGGGATATAATTTTCATGTGAAGGAAAAGATATATTAACATTTAGTGCCTCTTTTCTAATGACTGTCATATTTGAAGCTCAAATTCAAGGTGAAGGAAGATCAGGAAACTGTTTCAGCCTATATCACTGTTGGTGCTATTTTTTCTTCCTGGGGTGGTAGAGATGAGCAACTTTACACAAATCTAGTAGGAGCAAGAATGACAAAATGAAGAAAGACAAGAAATGGGTATGATATTGATAATACTAGCTAACAGAAAATGTTATGTGCCAAACGTTGCATTAAGTGCTTTAGGATCAATAGCTTAATAGAGAGGCAATACAACATACCAGTAACTATATGACCTCTAAGATCCAACCAACTACCAGGCTCGTGGGCCCAGCCCTACCACTTCCTATTCTCTACTCATGGCCAAGTTCTTTTTCCTTTTTCATGTCTGTTTTCTCATCTGAGAAATAGGGATACTGTTGGTTACCTACACCATGAAGTCACAAAAATTAAACAAGCTAATATATTTAAGTGCTTAAAACTATGCCTAGCACACGTTAGAAGTTATTATAAATTATTAATGTTATCACCTTGTAACAAGTCAGAAAACTAAGGCGTGCAGAATTTAAATGTTTTCTGAGGCTACATAGCTATTGAGCTCATTTGAATTTCAGCCAAAGCAAATTAATGTCAGAGATCATGCTGACAGCTTCTGTATTACAGGAAGAAGCACGAACTGATCCTTTATTCTTACCTTTTGCCCTGGAAGGAAGGAAACATGTGGCAATCCTGAAAATTACTACTCACCATTCATAAGTTATTACAAAGAAATCAAAGAATAAAGAGTTTGAAGGATTGCAATGTAATAAGTATTAGCAAAATAAAAGCTGCATAAAAGAGAAATGTGTATGTAGATAGTTTTTTGTGGTTAATATAGATAACCAGAGAACTCAGGACATTTAAATGGGCAAAGGAATTCTAATTACTTCTACAAATCATAGTTTTTAGACAAGCAGTGTGGGTGCATCTATTCATACTTCAGGTAGGTAAGGGAGGAGGACATGCTATCCATGAGGTAGACACGTAAGTAACGCATTTTATGGAAGAACCAAGAAGGAGAAGTGAGCATGAGTAATAGGAGAAAATTATAAATGGCATAAAACAAAACAGATCATTTTTGATATTTTCCTGTTTCTCCACTGATATTAAAGTTACTCCTATAGCACACAGGTAGATTGGACCATTAAGAAGAGGTTATCATTGCCTAAAAAATACAGTAAGAGTCAAAGGCTTGTATGTTATCTTCATGGTGTTTCTTTTGGTAGACTGAGTTTGCGTATTGACAAAAGGCACCTAATATTCATATGTAACATTTTATTCAATCTCAAAATACTTGTTCCCTATGCACTGCAGAAATCCAGGTGGAAACTTGGTCCAAATGATGGGAAGCATGTTTGGGAAATCAAAAGAATGGGCAGATATGGCTATCTCAAGGAGAGATTGAAATTGGAACCAGCTTTACTTTGTTTAAGCCTAGCTTCCCTTCCATTTAAAATGTTTGTTTGTGTGACATACAAAAGAATTTTCCAGGCCAGAGCCTCTTGCGTGGTCATGACAGACCAGATTCCCACTCTGCTCTTTTCTAGTCCCTTCTCATGCCCTTTCCAAAGAAATAGCCAAGAGGTGAGCTATAAACTTTTGAGAACAAACTGCAGGCTCACTTCCAGGAGACCTACCCTTGATTACTTCTCAGGAGCGGGGGAACTTGCCTGGAGCTTTTATCCTTCATTGCATTTATGTTCTGCTCTAAATAAAGTTTAAAGAGGCACACATCTCCCAGAAGATTAAAAAAAACTGATTTTATTTTTTCATAATTTCATCAGCCAAACAAAAACTTTATAACTGCATGCAAATAAGGAAAAAAAGAGAAAAAGGAATAGCAATAATACTGATGACACTCGAAACAAGAAATACGGCATATTACTGATTCAGCAAAGAACTCCCAGTTAAGTCAAATGTAAACAAACTTGAGAGTCAAATAAATGTCGGTCATGAGAAGCAGTACTACAACACACACACACACACACACACACACACACACACACACACGCAAAAATTCACTCTTCCAGGAGGAGAGAGTAACTTTTTACTGGAAGATTAAGTTTAGAATTTTTGGGTCATTTGAATAAATTATGCAGTTCTTCAGCCCAAGTACAACTGGGCTGGCAGAGTTAAATCACATTAAATTACTTTTTTCTTCTAGTGAGTTCCTATTGTTTCTTGAGACATTACTTAACAATAAATTTTCTGTAAGTTTTTATAAAAGATGTTCTTTCTCTGCTGTAAGGATACAAGGCTCATGGAACATTTTATTTGTCCCTCTCACACCTTTCTCCCCCCACACAGATGGGGCTTAAAAAGGAATACATAAATGCAAATTTCTGTGCAAATGTGCCCTGGCTATGGAATGATTAAACATATGTGGATTTTAATTTTCAGTCTTTCTAAAAGTCAATTTAATGTTTTCTACACCTGAAGCATCTCTGCTGTTATCATTTCTGCTTCTCTGAAGTTCAACATGCATACACACAGACACACACATTGTGTGTGCACGCACCATTCATACATACACTCACATGCACACTTCATACCAATCTTTCTTCAATTCACTTATCCACAGGGAAGCCTTATTTTAATTGCTACTGAACTTTTCCACCCCTAGAAGTCTTTGAAAGAAGGGTAGTTAAGAAATTGTATATCATTAACAAGTCTTTATAGAGCATTTTCATGCCCCTCTTGGCAAAAAAAAAAAAAAAAAAAAAAAAAAAAAAAAAAA